AGGGTTGCGATCCGTTGCCGGACACGAAAAAAGACAAAAAGACAAAAAAAAAAAAAAAAAGTCTCGTTGTATAATTTTAGAGGTGATGTTGTAGAGTTTCTCTATATTTTGCGAAGTGTAGAATATGAACACCATGATCCTATTTTAAATTCTTTTGCTTATTCTTACATCTTTCTACATTAAAGATATATTTTGTGTCTGAAAATTTACAGAGAAAATATTTGTTCAAAATTATAGCAGAGGGGGAAAAGATAAAAATCATGGCTTAAACAATTTGTAGCTTTTAAAATTGAAACTTAACTAAATAATAGTCAATTTGCAATATTTTTCCCCATTCTATGTACTTATCAAGTTTGTATCTCAGTAGGACAAAAACTGGGACTTATGATTTTTCCTTTTCTTTCTATTTGTAAGAGTAGATATGCCTAGAGAATAATGTAAGAAGTGAAAAAATAAATGCAATATATAATTTTTAACCAATGTGGGGATACAGTTTTCCTTATGTTGTTCTTTTCTTTTTATGTTTAGGTGTTATTTTCTAATACTGCATTCCCTCTTCTCACTTTTACAGAAAATAAGTTGAGTGGTCACCAATATGTGATTTATACATCAGATCTCTGTCTTCTGTGATCAGTCATAAACATAACCATTTAAGCCATATTTTAATTAGGTCTTCTTATATAAATATTAAAAATTTTTTTCTAGGATTTTAGGTTTTAAAATAAATTAAATGATCTCATCAGTGGTAGTAAGTATAGATAAAATATAATTTAGTCCCATCTTCTGGGGATGGCCATGTAATTTTCATCAGTTTTACAAAGGCACATTCTAGGTGGCACATGACATGGTGAGAACGTTTAGTTTTAGAATAGTTTACATTTTACTGTGGCCCCTCATCCTGAACATTCCACCTACAGCTATGGGCTGTGTGCATCACCTTTGCTGTCAGCACAGAATTATTTTGCTTTAGGAAGAAATTCAACTCTGTGTTCCAGAAACTTAGAAGAGCATAGTTTCCTGGTGAAAGGGGCATGATACCACCTGTGATTATAATTCTCAAATTGTGATGTCCAAGCTTTACTGCCTTTAAAATATGTCGCCCGTTGCACACTTGGGAGAGTGCGGCGCTGGGAGCGCAGCGATGCTCCCGCCGCGGGTTCGGATCCTATA